CAGAAAACATGTCAGATGCTTTAGATTAGGGATTATATTTTTAGTCTTTCCTTAGGTCCCTTGTTATACATATCATTTCGCAGCAGTTGATTTGCCAGTTGCCATAAAACCTGTTTAAATATTCTGCATGTCTAACAATATGACCAAAGGAAAGCTGAGCACTGAAAACCACACTGGCCCAGCATGACCTTTTTCCTCTGGAGAGCCAGCAAATGCAGCTCTCATGGTAGCAGCACCTTGCCCTGCTGTGGACTTTACAGAACTGTTGTAACAGTTCAGATGGTTCAGATCTGGTCGTGTATGCATCGTTTCAGAGGTTTAAATGACAGATCCAAATCTCGAAACTCTATACTGAACATGATGCTTATCATATGGCAAAGGAGTAGAGACTATGTTTATTATTAATAGCAGCCCATATAAATACAAGTCAAGTACAGTCAGAGATGCTGCTCCCCACCCAGCATTTCTGTAGATTACATTTGCCTGCTGCTTTTTCCATTACCATTATTCATAGCCCTCCGTTTTGTTCAGCTATGAGTGATGGACAGAAATGGACAATGCACGACAGTTTGGAGTGTGGATTTTAAAACATGTGGGAAGAATAGAAATGATATATGTATGGACACTCCCTCAGAGGGTCTCAGCTCTAACACCACAAAAGAGGGACTCCATGCATTGAGTTCTTTCTGGCAAAGAGGCTGAGGGAAGCAGAAATTAGAGTTTACACTCTTGGAGACTCGGCAGATTTTCACTTGGCAGACACGTGGGGCATTAATGCAAGTCTGGCCAATGTTAGCTGCCAAGCTGTGTCTTCCACCTTCACTGCAAGGAAATAAAGATATATTTTGATCCAAAGAAATATACGCGCATGTCTTTATAGATACACATACATACAATTAACCCATTGTTTTCCTTATGGATAAAATACTGGTTTTCAAGCCTAAGCTTGACCCCTTTTACTAGGCACTCTACTTCATCCTCTAAGGAACCCACAGTTTCCTCTGAAATATTTTTTCTTCAAAGGACATCATCTGAATTTATACATAGCTATGTCTCTAAATATGTATGTCTCATTTTTTTTTCTCTTTCTCTACAGATATATATACACCCACATATATTTAAATGGTCTTAAGTACTTATTGTTAGCTCTTTAGTTGATATGCACCACCAGCACAAGCAGTGGAAATGAATTCTCAGTATCTCATGAAGATCAGACCTTTAAGTATGTAGCTACACATTCAATTCATCTTACTGAATTTTATTTTTATAGGACTCCTATCACCTAATGATGATATATCTGAATAGATATAATGCTTTGAGATAATAAGGCTAAGCTACCACAGTGAGGAATGCAGTATAAATCTAGACGGGGAGAAGAAATAGAATGGGTTAAGTGATGTTATAAAGCTCTTGGAAGACAGGAAAATGTACACCAGTAACTTCCAAAATAGTCGTAAAAACTTCCAGGTTCAAAAAAAATGGTGTTCTTGCTCAGTGGCCTGTCTCCTTTCAGCCTTTCTATTTGTAAATGTTATTGCTGTGTGTGTCTTCATTAGTCTCTTTTGACAATAACCTTTAAGCAGTCAGTGTGTTCATGTGATTTTAATACAATCTGCCTAAAACATTTGATATTCTGTTACTTATAAGAATGGTCATTCTGGTGGGTAAACATTTTAGGCAAAACACATAAACTGGATTTTGTTGAGCTAGCCAGATGCATCCAAAAAAAGAAGATGCTTTGGAAGACAGGCTCAATGAAGATTTCATACCTTAAAATTCCTTTTATTTATAGTCTGTGATTTGATGACACCATTGGATACCAATTATTCCAGAAACTAACGAGCTGTGTAATTTCCCATAAAAGAACAATCTCAAGTAAAATATGTCAGTAAAGGAAACACTGTAATCTGGGGGAATGTGCTGTGTTTGTTTTGTTGTTGTTTCATAAAATAAACAAAAGGAAATCATTTCAAAGCACTATTTTGAAATTACGTATAATTAATTATTAACTATGCAAAGCCTCTCAGCATGAGATAGACTCTCTAAGGAATGGTAGCGTGAGGAGGAAAAATCCTCTCATTTAAACAGAGAGAGAATTACATCCAGCAAATGTTGTGGCCTAGACTCCAAGGACTCTCCCAGGAAGAGTGGGATGCTGTGTAAAAATGCTTTCTGTCTTCTCCCATGACCTTTTAGGCAGCAGGTCTCCAACAGCTGCAGTTCCTTCCTTTCTCTGAAAAGGAGCTACCATCTTCTCAACATGACAAACCCAGACTGGAATCCATCTGTTTGTGCAAGACATGCTTTTGCTGTGCCCAAGGTGAAATAAAGTATACCTGGGACTACTTTTCTCCAAAATTCCTCCAAGCGCAGGCAGCTGTGCACCTGCTGCCTGGCACTGTTGCATATGTACCCTGAAAGGTGCCTGCACCCCAGTCCACCAGCACTGGAAATAGATCACTCAGCGTTGGTTCAGAATACCTTACTGTGTATCTGGATGCTTTTAAGGTAGTAAATTACACCCATAATTGCAGTAGAGAAAAATCACCAGCTTTCTTCTCCGGATAACTTATGGGAAGGGGGTTGAGCCAAAGATGCTCAGATGAACAGAATGCCCGGAGTACAAAGATAATTTTTCCCATTCAAATGGTACAGACCAAAATATTCTCTCAAGCACCTCATTATTCCTATTAAGGTAACATTTTGATTTGAAACATCTGCGGGTTCTTGAGGCCTGAGTGAACTTGACATGCTCAACCTTTGGCAACTGTATTACGCATGGCATGTATGTCTGTATACGTGTGCCTTAAGGGAAACATAGGGAAGGATTGGAATCACTCTTCAAACTGCCTCTGAATGTAGGGTAGCACCAATATTCCAGTCCATGGTCCACAGCAAGTTTGAGGAACACAAGCTATACCTCCAAAAGGATAGCCATAGAAATCATTTCTGTCTTTTCACTCAAAACAGACTGCTGCCCTTCCTTTACCACTGTGAGATGACAGATCCAGGCTGAAGCCCATCTGTCTGAAAAACAAAATAAAACAAAACAAAACAAAAATAACAAACCCACAGATTCCTGAATTTATTTCCCAATTACAGCAGGTATCTAATATTATCCTCCCTTTCCAAGATAACAAAGATTTTAGCTGTAAGCAGGAAAAAAAAAAAAAAAAAAAAAAAAAAAAAAAAAAGAGTAACAGGGAAGAAAAAAAAAACACAAAACTTCTTTCTTACATAGTTATAATTTAAAACCCTGCAAAATGCAGGCATTTCTCAATAACTAACTAGACTTGTCTCTGGTTAGCATAAAGGCATGCCTACTGCAAAGTCTTTGTATAGAAATCCTTGAGGAGGAAAAGATATATTCTCAGCAAAATAAAATGTTGTCAGCTGTTTAAGCCTTAGTGGGAACTGAAAATGTCAAGCTTATACCTGTTAGGCATCATTTAAATTGAAATATGGACCTTCTTCAGTCTTCAAAGTAATGCATTTCAGGTGATAATGATGGATTAACGTTGAGAGAAAATGACCTAGCAGCCTGTTAGTTACTTTTTTCAATTGAGTGGGAGCACACCAAATTTTTCATCGATCTGCCAATTGGAGACAGCTGAGAAATGACGACTGTGCTTACTACAGGGTTCATACATAAATATTCACTGATGAGCACATTAAAATATGGGAAAGCAGAGGAACAGTTTGTTCAAATTCTGCTGCGTTTAGACTCGTGTTCAAACAGCTATATATTTCTAAACAGCGAGGGTTTACAAGTTCAAAGAGCTGCCCCCTTCACAGTCAAGTTTCTTATAAGTTTCTTACAACATCACACAAATGCATTTTACGAGGCAACTCTGTTACTCACAAGATTAATTCAGTGCCCTTTAAACTGTGGGAGTTGTATTCAAATGTGGTTTAGATTAAAGTGATTTAGCATTATTCCAACATCCAACAACATGAATGTATGTTTTCAATGGATGAATCTGAAATCAGCTGTTCTGCATTGTTAAGCCTCTTACAACAAGCTATTTGGATTTCTGGCTGTTCAGCACCCCAAAGGGACAGATTAATCTCTGAACCCTGTGGCTGACTCCTATTTTGGTTTCTCAAGCGTCTGCTGTTCATCTGGGCAGCGCTCAGACAAATAGGACAATTTACAGGAATCAATAACAAGCAATCCCAGACAGTGGTGAATTAGAGATAACTCTCAGCCTACGTGGATGCAGATGATAGATGCACCCTTTGCTTCATAAAAACCTTTGCTGAGGTTGTTGGGCCTGGCTGCTACCTTGCGGTGCTATTCCAACCAAAGTAATCCTCTGTGAGCAGAGAAGAGGCATCTGCAGTTCTGAGGACGCACAGCCTCAGAGAAGTGATGAGGATTTTGCCCAAAATACAGCACGTGCCACACAGTCCGTAACAAAGCTGTGAAGAGCACGTTTGCTTGGGAATGTAGCATCAAGTTCATGAATGCACACTGCGATACACCCCCAGCAGCAGCAAGGACAGAAACACAACAACAAAGCCCTTCATAATGTCATTAGTGATATGTAATAAAGTGGGAACAAAAGGGGTTTTCTTTCTGAAGGGAACAGTTAGCTTTTCCACTTCAGAGACCAGAGAGAGACGACTTCTGTTACTGAAAGCCCTGAAACAGGCAGGAAATGGAGCTCCATGGATCACTCAGGCATGAAGGCTGTGAATCTGAGATCTTTTCCAGAGAGAGAAAGAGATGAGAAAAAAGCACAGGAAAATAAATGTAATTCAATAACTGCTTAGAAGAGAAAATCTCTGCCTCTCCTCGTCAGTGAAACATAACAGTCATAGCAGGTGCATGAAAAGTAAATCCACCACACAAATGTGAAGCAGATAGACCTTACTGATGTATCTGGAGCAAAATATGAGAAGGAGCTGTTTAGATTATTAGAAAACTAATTCACCAATATGTTGATAAATCACTAGTTTGAATTTAAGTTGGTTGTTGTTTGGAGGAGTCTAGTTACCTACTATCATCTTCCAACACTGCACAAATCAATCTTGAGGAGTCCTGCCAGTATTCACGGTCCTCTGGGTGCCTCTGTTCAGCTTTCTGAGGGCTCTGCAAAATGAAAGGAAAAGGTAAATCACTAAAAAAAATAGCTAGGAGTGGCTACAATGGTTCAAAAAAAAAACACTGCAGTTACAGGAAAAATAACTAGTTTTGCTTTTTTGAATACCTATTAACACAGATAACATTAAAAGTAACTTGCAAGAAATATTTGGATAGTGAGAGCAAGGGGTCTCCACTAGGTCAGAGATGGCACTACTCTTCTTTTCCATCCAGTCCTTTTCCTGCTGTCTATCACAGGTTTGCAGATACCAGAGATGTGTGCAGGTCTGAAGCAGCCAGGCAAAGGTGCGGTGCTCTGATGGAGCATGCAGTGAGGTTCAGAGGAGAGGTACCCAGTCCACGGAGGCACATGGGGTTATGCTGCATGATCCAGAGCAAGGACTCTCTGTGTAGACACAGTTTGGCCTTTTCATGCTCTGGTTAAAAACTAATGGCAAACAAGCTGCTAGTGAATAACACAGACTGAATAGAACATAAAACAAGCTGTAGTGTAGCAACAATTATGATTTATTATCAGAGGGGGAAGTTTTGTACTCTGTACTTTACTGCTATTTTCCCCAAATGTTTTTTTTTCTGTGTAATGAATGATCTCAAATCAAGTTAAGAAAAGTACTCAAACCATGTACAAAGTTCCCAAGATCTCTTCTTGGGTTCTTGCAAGCATCCTTTGAAATAGTGATTTGAATTCTAATAACCCATTATTTGTCAGAGAGTCAGGATATGGAACTGGCAGGATCTTTTTGCAAATTATGGAATTTCTTTAAGATGATGAAGACCTTATCCCACAGCTCTGGAGATTTGCATAGAACATCCTAATCACCCAGTCCTTTAACCTGTGTTGTCCCCATGCTAAGATTTCTGCTACATCCAGTTATGGCAAGGAGACCCTAGGTGACTAGTTGTTACGCTGACATTGCTTAACATTTGGGTAACCTCACTGCTGTTTTGGTATCAGGAGTCTGACCAGGGTCTCCCTGGAGAATAAGGACTCTTTTTACTCAGTGGCTGAAATGCAGATTTTGCTGTCCACACAGCAGGTCCCGAAAACACCAGTAGTACTACAGGGATACCATACCAGAAGACAACCAGCATGTTGGCGGGGCAAAGCCAGTGTCAAAGGGCCAGTGGAGGCAAGAGCCTACAGGAAAGATGTGTGTCAGGCAGAAGCACAAATGATGGGCTTCATCTGAGAAGTCCATTGTGGCAATGAAAACATGAGTGCCTGATGTATGAGACGTGTTTTTTTTCTGGGAGCTGCACCAGTTTGGAGGGCACTCCCAGTGTTCTGCTCACACTGCTGGCTGTCTTGACAGGGAAATGCTCCTGGCTCTGCCCCAGTGCCAGGAGATAAGTGAGGTTGCTGTGATGCTTTGGGCTCCTTCCTGAGTGGCATGCCTGGCTTGGAGAGCTTTCACCTTTGCTTTGGAGCACTTCTCCCAGGGGAAAACTACTGAGCTCCAGCTGTGGTTCTGTGGCTCACTTTGGTTACCAGCTGTGATACCTGCAGTGTCAGTGCCAGCCTTGGTGCCTGACCTCAGCAGAGGTCAGATGAATGTGGCTGTGAAAACCACAGCCTGCTCTGGGGAGTGTGAGGCAGCCTGCTGCTTCACGGCTTCAGAGAAGGGAGGTAATAGTACAAGGCAGTCAAGTCAAATATGGGCTTTTCCAGGCAGGCATGCCATGTATCCCGCAACCAGTCTCCCACCACAAAGAGGATCCTGCAAGTTGTCTGTTACTAAATTGCCATCTGTGACTCCACACTTTCCTGGGAGCATTGGCAGCACTTTAATTACTTTTTCTATCCATGGATCTAAAGAAGACCACAATATTAAGTCATGTCCATTTAAAAGTTTGCCGTCTAACCTCTCCCAGCATTATGGATTAGTTATTAATTCAGCTCTGCATTCAGAGTGCCACCTGCCTTCCTCAAAGAGATGGAATGGTAGAAGGACAGGAAGAGGCAAAGGAAACAACCACAGAGCTACATTAACAACTGTGAATGTGAACAAAATGCAACAGCCCTGCTGAATGCTAAAGACAACAAAGGTAAATGCAGAGCAGGGCTGAGCATTGCAGAGGGGAGAGAGAACCACAGACACAGCCCATGGTTTTGCCCCCACTATGTCCAGCCTCAGCTCTTGAGGCAAAACTGCCCCGTAGATGTCAGCACACTTCTTCGGGATTTGCCTGTGATGGTCCCAAGGGCAAGGAGAGGAGCTGCGCTCCAACTGTGACTGAAGCATTAGTTTCTCCAGTAATAGCAATGGGAATCGAGACTACAGTTATTCTCTCCTATTAAGAATTTTCTTCAGATTTGATACAGTGACTTAATGGTGCTCTCATACTTTCATTCCCACCACAGGCACCAGACGAGAGCTTCTGAGGCTGATCAGATGTTGAACTTTCACAGCGGATATCCCCGGAAGAGTGTAGGACGATAATTTTGATACGCTGGAAAATGTCACAGTCTTGAACAGTGATAAAACATGCTTTGTTGGCTGGGCTTGTGTTTGCATTTTTGTTCACATTTCTTACCATGGCTTCACCCTCACCCCGGGTCACTTTGCTAGTGGTTGCGACAGCAGGAGAATTTCTGTAGACCACTGAGCTGTTCACAGCTGGTGCCTTATCACATTGGTGCTTTTCCCACTTTTCCCACTGCTTTCTTTAATGTAGCTTATGTGTACAATCAGGTACCATCAGGATATTGGGCTCTAGCTAGTTTTGTAGCTCCCGTGTTTTTAACTCTCTGGCTCCTTTATGAAACTACCACTTTTGAAAACCTTTGATCCAAAATTAATGTGAAATATGGTCAGCACAAATGTTGCCCTGAAACAATAAGTAAAACCTGTGCCATAAGAAGAGTCTTGCTCTTTCCTGCTGTGTGGATATCCCCATGGGATTCAAGCAGGCATAAGCTAGAATAGCCTTAAGACAGCTATAATATACACCTAGGAGAAGATGGGTCTAAGGGCTAGCTTAGGAAGAGAGAAATTTCAGGACTGTCATAGTTATTGTTTACTCACCACTTCTGGCCCTACACAAAGCACAGATCATATGGAACTAAGGGTGAAAGCCAGAAAATTTAATATAGCTTTAAATTATGGCTAGCAAGGAACACACATCAGAAGTCTGGCAATTACTTCAGTTTACATAATCTCCTCAAAATCCAGCTGCTTAGCAGAATTATCCAAAGTAAACTACTATTGGCATTCCTTTTTTTCTTAACAAAAAAATACATATTTTTAATAACAACAACAACAAAAAATCTCAGTGTGCCAGCTTTGTGCCTTATTGGACATACCTGTTTCTTTTTACGCAAGCAAAACTTCTTCAGTGAGAGACTTGTCTTGGACATGTTCACAAGTATCATGTGAATTTCTGTGATATGTTTTAATTTACATCATTATGCCACCCATTAAAAGATGGGCATTTGTCCTGTACCTAAGACATGTCGAGAACAAGTGCAATAGAATGATCAACATGCACTATTCAATAGACACACAATAGAGGAAGAGAAACATACAAAGTAAACAAAATTTGTTAAAGGCAAGCGCGTCCAAAAGCAATGAGACAAGACTTTGATTCACGTTATTTCCACTGACAGCTTCAAATTGGCTTAGGCTAGCATGTGTCTGAGTCCCGGGCTGACAAGAGGCTGGTGAACCTTGGAAGACCCAGGACTTCTTTTGGCTTTGAATTTCAGTGTGGAAGTGAAACCTGATGCTGGGCAAGTTTCACCTGGTTTCAGGTTTCACTGGAAAAGGGGGAAACAGATGAGTAAATCCAGGTAGCTGTCTGAAGGCAATTACAGCAAGACATGGGTTGTGAGCCGCAGCAGCACAGGGAGAGCGTTCCTATTGCGAATTGGAAAGCATCATCAGATCAGGAGCTTCTGTTTTCCCCGCATGTACGAAGCTGCTGCATCTAATAGAGATGCACAAAGTGTTTTTGATGGTCTTTGACCAAACTCCTGTTTGTATGTGACCTGTCTAAGCTATGGGGAAAAACAAACCAGAAGTGTACCAGAAGGCACAGCCAGACTCTCTGGATTTTCCCACAAATATAGTCTGCCCCAAAGCCTCCTTCCCAAAAAGCTATGGGATGGTAAAGCATTCATACGATAGTAAGATAAATGCACAACAGCTGGAATGTGAGACCTGGCACCAGAGGGCTTTTGCCAACCGGCCAAGGAAAAGTGTGCAAAGCGAGCAGGAATGAAATTACATGCCTCATCTGTCTGCACCACGTAAGAGCGCGAGAGAGACTAACCCAGAGTGATAGATCAGTAATTCATCATTGTAAGGGAAGCAGTTTACAAAGAGCATACAATCCTTGAAAGATGTGTAACACATTGATTGAATTCCCTGCATAATATTTTACCAGTAAGAAAAGCCCCAAAAGAGATTTAATTATAAACCCTGCAAAAAATAAAAAATAAAAAAAATAAAAAAAATATCATTAAGCATTACAGCTGCTTCATTCTACCCTTCCCAATTGCTGATTTTTATCAGCAGATTAAAATGCTTCCAGCTGAAAGACCAATTAGCTGATTCCATGTTTTCTGCCTGTCCTGATCACAGGAAAAGTCTGTAGTCCGAGGGAAGCACAGCTCTAAGTGACTGGAAGGATTACTGCCTACGCTGTATGGTTCACAGTAACAGAGAAGATGCCGACCTGCAGCTTACCCTCTGGCTCTGTTACGTTCACTGGCCACAGTGCCTGTCCCCTGGCTGATAGTGCTCCTTTGTCACCAGTGTCCCTCTTCCCTGTCACACACACACGTGCTCTGCATGCACGGATTCTCCACAGGAAAATTTAGTGGTAAACATGCAAAAGAGCACAAAAATTTGTGTACATGTACGTAGCAGGGTACACTGCAGCCTCTCAGGGAGAAAAACTGTGACTACAGCACTGCAGACATAGGATCACGTCCGAGGGTCCCTTTCTGCACCTGAAAATTTTTCCTACCAGCTTTTATTAGGCCC